TCTTAAAAAAAAAAAACCTCATTATGTCTGAAAATACGTAAAGGGGGTTACAGTACTGGTTATCAGCTTTCAGTGTGGCAGGTGAGAGATGTGTGAGATAAACTGTTCCAGCAAAACAAACTAAAAATGAGTCTTTGTTGATATTAACATTATGGCTGGAATAGTCCTGACTTCCAGAAGAAATAAAAGCAACACACATTATTGTATGCAAAGCACAAAGTGCCATATGTTGTGGCTGAAAGGACCTAAGTGGTAAGTTCCAGGTTCCCAAACACTAACGCTTAATAAAGAAATTATATTTTGGTAGAAAATGCAATATGAATGAGTGCTTTATATGTTGAAGAAGCTAACTTGAGTTGTAAAAAGCTAAAAGAAATAAAGCCAATGCAGCAAAACACTGCTAAAAGCTGTAAAAAATAAAGTTCAAGTTTAAGTTGTGTTTATTTGTCATATGCAAGGTTAACACAGGTTAACAATGAAATGCTTAGGGTGAGAAGAACTGATTTGAAATTTCAAAGTGCTTGCTAAAGCTCAAATTAGCAAAGTGTTAACTTATATTAAAAGTTGCAAAATACTAGCTCTATAATAGTTAAAAGCTAAATGTAGCAAAGCTTAGCTAAAAAAAACTTTACAAAAAATGATCTACAATCTAAAAGTAGCAAAAATAATAAACCTATAAGAATTTAGCTATAGAAGCTAAATATAGCAGGTGGTAGCAAAAAGTAGCCAAAGCCTAATTAAAAGCTTAAACTAACTGCAGAAACAAAGCAAAACCATCAGCATGACATGAAGTGAACAGAGGAAGTGACAGTTAACTCCAGATTAACCTATATACTGGGGGAGATGACTGAACTAGACGCACGTCAGCTGATTATGAAAAACAAACAGGTGGTAAAAATGGGGAAGAAACAAATACAGCTGAGGACATCTAAAGGAGATGGCTAGAAAAAGGTAAGAGGCTGAAAATCAGGGATATTCTAAACACAAAACACATATTTGTATGAAAGAATAACAAAAGACAATTAGAACAAAACAAAGAAGATCCTTAATAAATATGACCAAATATAGAATAGTATTGCTATTTCTGTGGTCAAACATCTGAAGGTCTGGAAATAAAATAGGTTCCAAAGTTTTACATTCAAGAATACAGAAGGACAACAATCTGTTTGGGGTTCCACAGGGATTAATATTTGGTTCACATATTTTTAATAGCTTGTTCTACATGAAACATGCAGATGTAATGATCATTTTGGTCTGATGAAAGCTCTTCTGTCAACAGGTTTGGTAAATTGTGACACTAGATCGATTTCTAGAAACCTTTTAGAGCTAAACACTGACAAGTCTGAAAATATTTGAGTTGAGCAGTCTATAAATCTAAAATTTAGCTTTTATTGCACAACTTACATTACACTCTTTATTGTTACTGAAAATATATTTTAATATATGAACTGGCATTTGTTAAACTCTTGTTTTTTTTTTTTTGTTTGTTTGTTTTTTTTTTGGGGGGGGGGGGAGGGACCAGAGTTTTTAAATCTGATCACATCACTCCACTGTGTTTCTTAAGTACAAGACAGAATCACCTTTTCATAACCCTTCTGATAATCCACGTGTACCTGAATTAGTTTTTGAGGTAAACTATATACACTACACAAGTAAAAGACAACACTATGTCATATTTTCAATAAAGAAAATCCACCCTGAAGTTCAACGCTAAAAATATCAATCTTTCCTGGATACATCCCAACAAAAATAAATACCACGGTGTTTACCATTTGAGACAGAAAATGCTATGATAGGCATGAGGCCACCATGAGGGCCTCATGGTTTAAACCTAGTTCTGTTCATCATATTCATTTACAAGAAACCTTTTTGCATAATTATGCATTAGATTATTAACAGCAAACTGTTTAACAATTAGCAAATGCACACCAGTAGATGGATTGGTATACTATATGAAATGTTAGATTTATTTAACTTTGTTAAGTGAACTGGATCCAATAAACCTGAATGGTTAAACGTAACAAAATAACAATAGTTTATTATTTGAAACTTTGTCTGTACCAGTTAGGTCTTGGATGCAACCTGATTAAACGATTTTCAAGTCTTATGAAAGCACATAAAATGAGGTCCAACGGGCCTGAAGTCTAATATGTACGTAAATAAAGCATGTTGGGACAGTCTGTTCAGTAAAAGGAATAGTGTTTTAAGAGGTAAAGTTGGATTTAATTTGCAGTAATTAGTTGCTTTATGGGTGGCGTGGTGGTTCAGTTGGTAGAGCTGCTGCCGCTCAGTAAGGTCCCTGGTTCAAATCCCAGCCAGGGAACTTTCTGGGTGGAGTTTGCATGTTCTCTCCGTGCATGCGTGGGTTTTCTCCGGGTACTCCGGTTTCCTCCCACAGACCAAAAACATGCATGTTAGGCTGATTGGTAACTCTAAATTATCCCTAGGTGTGAGTGAGAGAGTGAATGGTTGTCTTGTTTGTCTCTATGTGTCCCTGTGATGGACTGGAGACCTGTCCAGGGTGTCCCCTGCCTCATGCACAGTGATGGCTGGACATGAGCACCAGTAACCAACATGACCCAAAAAGGATGAAGCTGGCAAAGGATGGATGGATGGATGGATGGGTAGTTGCTTCATTGGCTCTTAAGTGGCATTACTACAACAAAAACTGTTCATTTTGAATGGGAAAAATCAGTGGAAAGCTTTAAATTTGACATAAAAAATGTTTCTGTATTTTAAACAGCGTCCAAATGCATTCTGTCCATGTGTGCCTTATGATGATGGAGATCAGGTTTGTAATTTGGAAGTTAATGAGGCTGCGATAAACTTATTTTCCCAGTCCTTTTAACACCTTTGTCTATTAAACTAAATAAACTATTATTTGACTGTTTCTAAGTTGAAATGGTTGCTGGCTTAAAGAAATTGGTTGGCTGTTGACCTACAAGCTAAATCAAGCAGCAAGACAACAACAAAAAAACAACAACACAAGAAACAATAAAAGAGAAACAACAAAAACACAAGGCAAGGATGAATGACAAAAAAAAAAAACAACTAAATGTGACATGATGCAAGTTTGAGTTATTAGAGATAATATGGATCATGCTGTGATCCAGGTCTATTTCAGTCCTTGTTCTCTGGTGTCTGCACTGTATAGCTGTTCTTTTTTCCCTGGCTGCTCTCCCTAATTAACACTGATAACGTCAGACAAATGGAAACATCACAGTGTCGGCTGTGGAGGACTATTTCCAGAAACACACACACACTCGCAGTTTATTCTCACAGGCACCTGCTCCTGGTCTCGGCACTGGCTGATCATTATTTAGTCGTGTGCCCTGAAAATAAAAACAGAGAGGAAAAACTCATTTGACTCTGTGCTGTCTTTAATGAGAAGATGAGCTCTTTTTTCATGACAAATATATAATAAAACAATCTGCAGAGCACTCTCAGACTGGTTATGCTGAGCAGGGCTCTTGTTTGATCTTAAAGCCAGCAGATTTACAATAAAACAGGCAGGTATGAAATAAATTTCTGAGCACACCATGAAGGAATTCTCTAGAGGAGAGCGAGCTCAGAGACACAGAAACTGCACTCCTGAACTTTTGCTTATCTCCCTTTGGCACAAATTGAGCAGCAGCACTGCATTTATTCCCTTCTCAGGTCATTTCCCTCCACAAGATCTTATGAAAGGAAATAAAGACATTAGAAGTCAGTGATGGCATCTGGCTTGTTGGGCCCACTGTGTGCGTGTCGAGGATTTTTCTAGTGAGGCCCATATGTGAGCAAATTGCAAAGGGGCCACAGCTGTAGGTGTGCAAAGATGACTCAAAGGGGAATAGGAATTTTTGCAATGCTAACTCACATGGATGAGCAGCTGTGGCCCTGCAAAAAATTCAAAAATTTTCTGTTTGGCAGGGCTCAATCGTAGAGTTGACTGTGTAAAAGAACGATCTGTCCAAATGTCAACACGGCCTGAGGGCAGCGAGGATGGTGCTGAGCTACGTAGTGAGGAGATATGAGACAAAAGGACCGGGCCAGAGCAACCGGGTCGTTTCCATCATTCATTCAGCTGCACAGGCAGAAACATCTCAATAACATGAAGGGAGATCAATTAAAACTCCAAAACAAGTGATTATTTTGTCAATAAGGAGATAAAAAAATTGTTGATTTAGGATTTCACGTTCTCTCTGACGTTAACAAGAAATAATCAAACCAGAAAACAACCTAAATGCCTTTTGCTTTACTTTTCTTTCCTATTTTGATGGCTAATAATTGATTAAACATGCCAATTAAGAGTTTATTTGTTCACTGCTTTATAGCAAAACCACAGTCACAGACATATTTAGTTTTTTAATGTTACTTTTTACCCAAACATATACTGCAGAGCTCACAAATGTGGACTGGAAAAGTAATCTCTTTCCACATTCTATCCATTTATACAGAGATATAACGAGCTCATATGCTCTACTACTACTACTGCTAAAAAGTAAAACATAAAATAAAAATAAAATGTATAGTTTAAGGTGGATAAGGCCTCATACCAGCTAAAGTTCTTTTGCGCTCTCAACTGGTGTGTCCGTGTTACTACAACAAGATGACACCGTGTTGTTGCTGCACAAAATACAGTTATTTCAAGGGAAATATACACTACATTTGACTGCATAATGCTAAAAGTAAAGCATTAATTGAGTTTAAGTAAACTTTTATAATTTTGTTCCTTTTAAAGGTTTTCTAATTTTAGTTTGAACAAGGTTACTTTACTGTAATTTAGTTTTATAAGCACAATAATGCTCTTTTCCACCCTGCATTTATCTGTGGGCTCAGATGTGTTTCTAGTTGTGTTTTAATACCTTTATTTAAGGTCGAAAGTCAGAGTTTGATCACATCAATCATTGTGATTGCATGTGGCTGAATGGGTGATTTTGGAGCTTCAGCTGTTTGTTTCAACCCTTTAAAGAACGTCGTGTTGCAGATAACGTGTGAAAAGTGCTCCACAAAGAAAGTCTGACTGATTAACTCATCGTTGGATCCTCTTGGACCAAGTCCGGTGACTTGGCAACCTGTTTACGTCGTCCGACAGCAGCTCAGAGCCGAGTTGGATATTTTATTTATCTTTCTGCGCACTGACAGAGCAAATGGAAGATGAATAGGCCTATCATCTGTGTGTGCCACTCGGGGGCCTCTTTATCAGCAGAGTCAGAAGGTGACAGATAACCAGTGTGGGTCACATTTAGTAAGAAGCTCAGTCGACAACAGAGCACTTAAAAAAAATAAACAGGAAGATTTAAATTAGTATGAAACCTTATTTAACTGCAGCAACAAACCATAAACGGTGTGACACAGTGTGATTAGAGTGGTTTTATTGTGAGCTGAAAAAAAACATGAGGGGACAATTACACCAAAGTCAATGTGATTGTGAAAAATTCACCTTTTTAATTTAGAAATATATTCAACACGGTAAGAGCCAAACCAGAACCAACATCAGTACAGTAAACTGACCACGGTGTAACTTTACTTCATCAGCTTAGATTGTTATAAATATTGTAACCCTAATAAGGCAAAAACAACAATCGTGTCAACAATCCCACCTAAAACCTAGCTTGAAGTCATTCATTAAAGTACATTCAAACATCAATATCCTTCATAATATATTGACTCAATGCACGAGTACAAGACTTTAAACGCACAAAAACACAATTTTATCTGCGCTTTGTCCTTAATGCCAGCTGTACTCGGATCAGATTATCTACGAGTAAGACGCTGCATTGGAAAAAAAAAAAAAAAAAAAAAAAAAAAAAAAACTTTCAGCAAACGCAATCCAAATGGGATTATTTTTTCAGAATACTTTAATTGTTAAGGTTATCCCCGAATGCACAAAATGAGCTATCGTATTTTTCGGACTATAAAGCGCACTGGATTATAAGGCGCATTAAGTGAAACAAGTTCATTTTGACAGGTTTTTTAAGCACCATGTACCACATAAAATCAGTTCAAGGTCAATAAGCACAACCAGAATTATTCCGTAAGGCACACCAGATTATAAGACTCACTATCGCTTTTTGAGAACATTAAAAGATTTTAAATGCACCTTACAGTCCAAAAAATACGGTACTTTAACAAAAACTGCATGACAACAACAACAAAAAAAAAATCTTCAAAAGAAACTTAACTACAAACTGAAAGTCACATCCATTTCTAACAAAATGATATACTTCGAAAGAGCTACAGTTTTGGTTATGCTGGAATATGATCCCATTCAGATTATGGCAAGATTTCCTACCTAATTATTCCAATGCACTTTCATTTTGGATGATGACTGAGTGTTTCTGTGCAATAAAGAGTAAGAAGTCAGTGAACCCAGCAGAACTAAACAAGGAGGTGGATCCAGTGGATGTTTCAGCCATAAATTGCCTGGTAGCCGTTCCTTCGGTTGTTACTCCTACAGGTTATCACACAGACGCTCAGCATTCCAAAGAACTGCAACAGGAAACAAACAATGAAACCCAAGCTTTAATGCACTTTGTAGGCTGTAAAATGTGACGGGAACTGGTAAAGGTTACGAGAAACGCTTTAAAACGCAAATGTGTTCGGCCAGAATTACCAAGCATCCTACAGGACAGTAAAAATGACTTTTAGCTAAAACATTCTGAACTATTGCTTTAAGGCAATTTTTGAGTTTATCTTTCTTAGAAAATCATGCTTGAAAAGGGTAATTGAATGTGTGGAACGAATAAAAGCTGAAGAGGCCAAAAGGACGCCACAATGACCCGTTTTTGTTTAAAAAAATAATAATAATCAGCTTTCAACAAAACTGACATTGTTCATGAGAGGATTTTTAAAACACATCTACTATTCATTTGTACAGATTTACTCTGCAGTGCTCCAACATGGTTTTCTGCACTGATCAAGTGTTGCATCACACACAGAGATACACTCTGAAATCCAAACACTTTAGAGAAAAGATCATAGAGTAGGGTTATTGAACTCTTAACAAAAGGAGCCAAATTTTAAAAACTTTGTCCAAGCCATGGGCCAAAAAAAAAAAGTCAAATCATGTCATTTGGACCAGTTTCTTTAAGGGAGAAACGTTTCATTTTCAGCTGATACATTAACTCAAGTCAGATACATGATATATTTTCTTGGTTGCAGGTTCATGATTAAGAGTTTGATCTGGCTCACTTGACGTTCCGTTACTCTTTCCACACAGAACGATCCAGCGTTCTTTCTGGCTTCAAAGTTAGCCAGCTGGCATAAGAAGTCTATACTGATGTATTTATCATTTTTTAAAGAAAGAAAATTGAAGAAATACAATATTTTACATTTAAAATGATCATCTCGGGGGACCAGATTTGGCCTGCAACTCTTGAGTTTGACATGGAGGTCGTGCAGACTGGTGTGTATTTTGGTGCTCAGAGTGTTCAGTAAAGATTATTCAGGTGCTGCACTTAAGGTTACCTTGATGATGGCAAACCCAAGAACGACCAGCATGCCGTAGGTCAACGTATCGTGCAGCAGTTTCAACAATTTGTCCTCACAACCCTGAAATAAAAAGAAGGCGAGTTCACATTGGCTTTTCCGTCATCTTTATTCTGTTTAGGGAGGCTGACAGTTATTTGTTTGTTTTACAATCAACAGGAAGTAGCTCAATAAAAAGCCAAGCCAATGTATTCTCTAAGTTACAGTTTAAGAACAAAGTGCTTCTGTAGGACTTACATCTGTATAAAACTGGCTGGGTTGAATTAGGCTAGTGATGCACTGGGTTGTGTTTTTACAACAGGACAGAGGGATTGTCTTGTTGCTGGCGTACCAGGGAGTGGAGAGCCAGCTGGACATGTTGTGGACACCACAACACTTCAGCTGGAAAGACAAAGACAAGTTACATTACATATGAAATAAAATGGATAAAAATGTTATTTGTATAATGTTTGAGCTCATGGGAGAGACAAAAACAAGATACGGTAAAATGAAGAGGAGAAAATCTAGTTCTGTAAAAATCCAAAAAGCCTGAAAAAAGTGATGTTTTGAGTGGAACATCATTGATGGAAAAGATTCAAGAAGTGAATGTTTGAGCATGAGTGGAACAATCATGATTTGGGCTTGTGTAGCTACCATTTAAGCTAGCATCACATGAAGTTGGGACTGTTGGAGGATTAACTCGAGTCAATATTCTGATAAAATACACACATTTTCTCGTGCACTCACTAAATTCGGAGTATTTTCAACAAAGGGGTCAGAAGTCATGCAGCTGGGTTTTATTTGACCAGATGATGAAAATTATAATTTCGTTCTGTGTGCACAGCTTGCAAAACAGTGTTCTAGGCTCTATACATTTTGTTGTCCACACTGTAGCAATCTTAGCCTGCTTTGCACCCAATTTAACAATCATTTAAATAAACAATTTAACCTGGAGTACACTTTTGAACTGAAGACAGGAAATTTGCACGTTCCTTTAATATCATTACATTACAAAAACTTACATTTAAAAATAAATATCAGTGGGCAGATATAAATAGAACAGTGTATGAAAATAGGTCTACAAATCTGTCATCATAGAGGTGATCATTCCTGTAAAGAGAACTACGAGACGTCAGATTGGTGAAAGTAGAAAGAAAGGTGGGAGTTAGAAAGTTGTTTTGCTTTTACTTGTTAAGCAAATTAAAACTGAATTAATTTGCCCATGGAAACCCAAACATTTACCGGGCATCAATCTCAAAAGAGCCACGAAGCACGCATCGAAATGACGCGACGGGAGCAAAGTTTGATTATTGTGTGCGACGTCACGTTTAAGTTCTAACTGCACTTGAGTAGATGGGTGGTTTTACTACAGTGAGCAAATCAATGCATTTACTACATTGATTATTTACAGACAGAGTGAAGGTGGCACATTCTGAACATGAGTGTGGAGAGAAAGTTTCTTTTACCATCAACAGTGTTTTACTCAAAAACTAAAGAGCAAAAAAAGCATAAAAAGAGGAAATGCAACCTAACAGGTGGAAGAGAATCATGTTTAGCAGAGGCTGTTGATGCATGTGAAATGATGCATGTGAAAGCAGAAGTGAGAAACAGATCTAATGATGTGCAGGGGAACACAACACTGACTTCACTCTGCAGCAAGTTCACAGCTTGGGTCTCTGGATTTTTGCCATCATATTTGTTAAACACGTCATTCATCGAGTTGTCCAGGTTCTGACCTATCTGCAGACACAAGAACCAGAGAATAGTTAATATCAGGCACAAAGTGAGTGTATTTCTTTTCACTGGCACATTTAAAATGCGTTTGCTTCAAATTTTAGTGCGAGTTAGAATACATTTTTATGACTTACCTTTCCTTGGTAGATGAAGCTAAATACCAAAGCAGTCACCTCGGCTGCAAAGATTAGCATGATGATCACAAAGAACTGCAGAAAGAAAACATTTTATAAAAGTATAATCAAGGGGGATAAGTGATACACAACTGGAAAACAAAGAAACAAAAAATAAAAATGACTCATTGTGCATTTAAACCACAAATCTTTGCAGCTTCATGTTCACATTTAGACTCTTCAGCTGAACAAACAACATGTTAAAGAGCAACAATCACCACAGTTCTTTTTTTTATATCACTTTGCATTTCCAGAAACAAACTCTTACACAGCTGAGGCCGACTTTGGATTCACGGAGCGTGGCGCAGCATCCAACCAGGCCGAAGATGAACATCACCACGCTGATGCCGATGACGATAGCAGCTGGAATGAGGGTCTGCCTGTTCTGGATGAAACTCTCGAAGGTGTCATAGCTCCTGATCATGTAGGCACCGACATAAGCCAATGCTGCTCCTGCACCCTGTGGGGAAGAGAAGTTCATGGTATTCATTTTGTGTCTCACGTTGGGAACTGCCTCACTGTGACCTGATCAGAAGCTCCTACTACATTAAATCAGTCAAGATTGGCTGGAAATAAGCCTTTCAGTCTCAAGTAGGGCTGTCACTGCACTCAAGAGTAATTCAAAAACCTTCTCGCAACGAGCAGTGCACACTGCTCTCTCTCAAGGTGCTCTGTTGCTGTCCGGCAATGACCCAGTGATGGCTTGGACAGACACAGCTAACCTGCACCAGTTACTGAACCAGAAGCTGGAACTAGTTGGGGTGACATACTTGAGGATGTGGACCCGCTGCCATCTGAAATGATGGAGCAGGGTCACACTTCAAGCTCGCTTGACTTCATGATGGCAGGAGGCGAGCTCTCAGATATGGACTCGGAGTTGCCCTTCTCAGATGATGACAGGGATTATGACCCATCTGATTGACCTACATGACATGTGACAACATGCTGCTGTAAATGGCCCCGCTCTCCCCTCCAGAGCAGACCACTTTCAGTCCAGCTTGACAATATATATGTAAAGCGGCTGCGCTGTCAGTCTGAACGTCTCCTCCGTGCTCATGGCTTAGCAAGCAGAGCTGGAGGAGCGGATCGCCTCATAAGATGCTGCATTATGGGATGAAGTGTGCATCATCACAGATCACTGTCTCCAGCTGCACAAAGTGGTGATCCATTCTCTGGGCAGAACAATGTGGCTAATGGTTCTGAAGGAGAGGGCCAGGTGGCTGAATCTCATCACTCTTTCCACAAAGGAGGAGGCCCATTTCAGGGTCTGTTCGACACTGGTCACCCCAATGAAAGGAGGTAGGAGAAGAAGTGCTGTGTCTCCCCAAATGCGCGTTCGCCTCTACAACCGCAGCTCTACCGCCCCAGCACCAAACCTTTGCTCAGGTGGCAGTTTGCTCGTCCCACACCTTCAGAATTCCCAAATTGCCAAAGATGGAGGGAGTCCCAAAAACCTTCCTCTAAAATGCTGTGGCAGAGGAAGGACAGAGACCCCCACCCTGAACAATTGCAACCCACCTCCACCCATGCAGTGAGGAGCAGGAAACGGCTGGTCTGACATCCTCATGAAGGGAGCGAGCAGGATTCTCGTCCCTCCATGATTCTGTTCCGAGTCGGTTCGGACTGCTCAGCCAAGTTCTGCCTGCTTAGCACGCCGCAAAGATGAGGCGACGCAACGTTCATTATGGGGAATCCCACAGCGGTCCACAACAGCATCACACCAGCATATTCATCTTTTGTCAAAAATAAATAAATGTTACAATAAAAAAAAAGCTAAATGCAAGGTTAAAAATGTAAAAACCCGCTCGGGGATTTGGTCTTTTTTTGTAAGTAGTAAGACCTCTTCCTGAAATAAACAGTCCTGTCACAAACTTAAGCCCACGGGCAGGCATGTACACTCCATGCAGGCGCACTGGAAGCAGATGGTGGAGTGTTGAAAATGGTGGTGTGACGCAGCATCTAACTGGATCTGCTCCTGCTGCAGAATAAACAAACTAAAAGCGATAATCTGCACAGGAGGAGAAATGGAAAGAAAAAACAGGAAGAAGCATCACTTTAAAACTGCAAAGATGAATCAAAACAGGCAAAACTGGTCTGATATTTACTTTTATAATTTACAGCATAGAAAACAAAAACCCTGCAATTTTGTGCCTCCTAATTTAATTTCTCTAATTTCACTTTAAGTGATTCAGTGGCATTTTTACTTTTATTTAGAGCTGCATTGCTGATTAGCATCAACACAAGCCAATCAATCACTGCACACGTTGCGGTAATTGCACAGGGCATCTGAACGCATCAGCGGATTCACCGTTTAAATGTTTTGCACACGCTGGCATAGATCCAACCTTTTAAACAGCTGCTACAGACTTTATATAAAAGGTGGCACACAATGAACCTCATGGGTGATAGAAAGAAAAAGGCTGTCAGAAGAGAAGTCTAGTCATCCAGCAGAGACAAGCCCCTCTCATGAGGCCTCTGGACTTCAACATCACAAACCTCTCACATTAAACAAAAGGTTTGATCACACAACGAAAGAAAGAGGAAAAACCCAGAAATCTAAATAGAGATATTATCTGTTTAGGTTTAGATTACAGACTGAAGTTTATATGCATCTTATTCACTGCCATATTTTCACTATACTTCCAAGTAGGGATGCATCGATCCATATATTTTTTTTTTACTGCCAATCCAATCCCGATACCTAAATCTGGATATCTGTTGATAAAGATACTATTCTGATATCGTTCCGATATCATCATCATCATCATTACTGATTTTATATCAGGCTTTAATAAACACCTCTCTACAGGCAAGTATGTATTAGCTAGCTGCAAACTAGGGATGTGCGATATGGCATAAAATTCATCTCGCAATATGTACTGTGATGGGTGGCAGTAATGATGTACAGTATATATCACAATGTTTTTGGTATAAAACTTGCAATAGGAACAAAAGCAAGCAAAGGGTGTCCTTTTGCAATCATTTATTTTAAAAACTGATATACCACACAAATAATCTCAATTTAAAAAAAATCCACTACTAGGCCCAGAGAGTTTTTAAATAATTAATTTAATTAACAAATCAAGTATTAGGCTCCTTTCTTGTAGTGCAAAACAGTGCAAAAGCTATTAAATGTAGTTTTAGCCATATATTTTAAACAAAAGAATGAACAGCAACAGAGCAGCAATTGCACACTGAAAACGCTTAACCCTCCAACCCTCTAGTGGGCGTCTCCTTCCGCTTTAAGGAGAGCTGACACAAAATGGCGACCAGTTTCCTCTGTGGCTTTGACCAGAGGGTCTCGCAGTAAAATCACAAAACAGCGTTCTTTTCACAGATCAGAGAGCAGGTTTAACCCCCACACTTTTTTTTTGTTTTTAGCTCAAATGCACTCTCTAAAGCTGACCAACAAACTTTTGACGGAAAACAGCGTTTCGCGCATGCGTCTGAATACAAGTACGGCAAGCCAGCCGTAGTTAACTTGTAGCTTCGCTACTTAGCTCTCGAAGAAAGGACAACTTACACAGTTTTCAACAAAAAAAAAAAAAAAGAGAGTCACGATTAAATCTGACAACTCGGATTTTACATCAGACACAGCATTACTGCGGTTAGCCGGTAGAATACAGATCTCTAACATAGGCTAAATGTCTATCGTTTCTTCCATGTACTGTATATATCACACATTCCTACTGCAAACTATGAAAAGGATTTCCTGAATGCGAGGCGGGTCTTATTACTCTGGATTCATGAGACACGCCTCCGTTCAGGAAATCCATTCCACAGTTTGAAGCCAACTTGCAGAGCAGCAGACTGGGAATCACATGTGGAGACGTTTCAGCAAACGCATACCTGTACATGCATCGTGGATCGGAAATCTCTGCAGTTTGGATCAGAAAATTCAGATAGGTAAATTATGCTGGTATCGGAACGATACCGATACAGGATCGGTTCGGCCCCATCCTTACTTCCAAGTGCAAAATGTGCATAAATATTTGTCTTACACTGAACATATACTGTTTCTGAATCTTCGATGTAGCAAATTTCTATACTGAGTACAATAAAAATGTCATTTACAGAATACTACATGTATACTGTAGTTTACCTACAGTATGCTGGAGTTCATTTGAGGAACAATAAATACGACTTTTCCACTTCATCTAAAAATGTGCTGGTACAAAAAACAAATTTTGTCTTCAGCCAACATAAAGGCATAAATAAATGTTCTTATTTATTCTAATACAGGGCTATACAACTAAACTGCTCAGGGGGGGAACAAGTACTGAAAGCCAGCAGCTCAGGGGCTGGATATCCAGCAATTAAAGTCATTATGTAAATAAACCAAGTATTATGATATGTTATCTTTAAATTTTGTTTATTTTGTTGAATTGTCATAAATTCATAAGCAGAACCCAAACCAAACCCAGAACACCCCTCCCCCTCAAAAATTATGTGCTCATTGGTGGGTCGGACTGGAATCACCCGTGGGCTGAAAGTGGCCCACGGGCCACCAGTTGAATAACCTTGTTCCAACATATTGACTCCTTTCTCTTACGCTGGGGGTGACTGATTATTTAGTCCCACAGCAATAAAAAGCCAAATTATGAAGTAAAAGCAAAGCCATACAACAAAACCCTTTTAAAAATACTGTGATTCATTTGCTCCGGTTGTGTAATCTGAAGTCATGTGATTAGTGCAGGATGTGAAGGTGGACACCCTCATCGCAGCTTTTCTCAGTAATTCCTCAGCAGTGACATCACCAGTCATAAGACTGCACACGAGTCAGCTCTGTGCACAGTTATAATCGCGCGATTATTTTAATATACGAGCACCAATGTTTATCTGACGTTTAATTGAAGCAGTTGGTTTGAAACCAACCTCAAAAATGACCACGAAACAAGTAAACCATAACTTTCCAGCTGTTCCTGGAGATTAGAGCCATTTCCAGAAGGACCTGCTGTGCACACTGTATCCTGCCTGCCTTGTTTATGTGTAGGGATGAGGGTAAAGTGTGGCCTAACAACAGTTCACCCTGCAGTTTGAGCCTCATGACTCACGTCTCTAATCACTCCCCAGTCACGGGATCCCTGTGGGGTTGTTCTCCTACACCTCCTCAGCTGCTCACCCCCACCAATCTCTCCTGGGAATCTCATCTCGAGCCAGAGGAGCAGCACAAAGAGGCTTTACACAACATCTGAGAAAACGTTTGAGTCGATGATCTGTGGTGAAGGTCAGAGCTGGACCTGGCAGGACCAGTTAGTCAAGCACCCTGGACCACATTCCACTTAAAAAAAAAAAAAAGGGAAGGCGTGCGAGGATAATAAAAAAACAACAGGAGTGAAAAACTTAGCTTCTTATCTTACACAACGTTTTACGCTCCCAGCTTGATGAAATCAGTTTAAACAAATGTTGGGACATTTATTCTTTAATCTGATCTGTTGACCAAACAAGAGCAGGTTTGACTCATGTACACAGTTGGGCCTT